CTATTAATAAAGCGTCACGTTGAAGATAATTCAAAAATTCGAAACAAAAATAATATTTTCAAAAAGTGACTTATAATTGTTAGATATTTAAACTTCATTGAAATTACACAATTTTATTTGTAGTTTTATTATTGAATGTTCCCAACGGCACTATTTCATGTTTAAATTGTTTTTTTACCTATTTGTTTTCTTTCGCACACACACTTCAAATGTTTTGTACACAGACACGCGCAATTATATTTTATTAAATACGTATTTATTCTGTCAAACCAATATGTTTTACTTCTATCGTTTCCACAGTCCAATCAATATAATATATATTATAACTATTTTATATATATATTAAATTATATTATATTAAACGAATGCTCGATCACGAAAAAATGAATTAAAAGCTTCGAATTCTCGTCCGTTTTAATAGAGTATGAAAAGTACGTTCGAAAGGTCGATTTTAGCTCCTTACCGTCAAGTTCGGTCAAGAGAGAGGGGGAATCTCGCGGCGACCGTTGGAAAAAACGGTAAAACCGCGATAAGAGGCACTATTACGGGCCAGTGGTGTATTCACGAACGTGGACAGCTAGGTTTTATTTGTAACTACGTCAGCAATGGATGGTTCGTGGTTTTCGGTTGGCTTCCGCTATTCCGTTTAAAATGTGAACCAGAAAAAAGGAATAAAAAGAAAAATTTTTCCACGTTGCTCATCCATTGACTTTGTAATTTAAGCTAGTTTCTTTTCGTTCCATCGTCGTCCAGATAGACGACTCTTGTTGCCTTCCGTCTTATCCGTCCATCCTTTATATGCGTGTCACGAATTTCATTCCTCCCCTCGAATCCATTTACGGATTCGCGAAAAATCTTTGGATTTTTCTCATCTTTTCGGACAAGTGGTGTCATCCTCCAGGTCGAGGTCGCCAATAAACTGTGTTTATATCTAGGCCATTCTTTTGCCTTGCGAATGGATCATTTGATTTGATAAAATAAATTTAATAATCAGATAAAATCGGGGGATTTGTTTCATATAAATTATAGTTGCGAAGAAAATTAAAATAGGATAAATGGAAAGTAATTGATAATTCTTTAAACAATACTTTCAATCTAGAACAATAAAAAACACAGAAATATATGAACAAAAGAAACTTCGTTACACGATTCCATTTCCCAAACTTTATTATTACGAATAAATTGTCTATATAATTTTTTTATCTTGTATCATCAACAAACTTCTCAAAAATAGTACGTCCAAAAATATTTTCAATCTGGATTGCGTTAATTTGTTAATTTAAATCGTTCTGCGCGTAAATTATTCGGTTAATTCGATGAAACGATTTTCTTTTTTTTTTTTTTCTATAAAAAAGATGAGAAACGCAGGGAAGGAGTATGAGAAAAATGAAACGAGAGAGAAGGGGGATATAGATGGCGCTCAAAGAGGACTTAGCATTCAAGGTTTCAACATCTTCTTTCCCCCTCCTTCTCCGTCATTCTTCAGGATAATGTTTGTCTTAAGTAATTCTCGGGAATAATATCCTTTTTTTTCCCTTCTCCCCTCCAAGATATCGTCAAAACACCTCTCATTCGTCTTATTCCGATAGAATGAAAGGAGAGGAACGATCGATCGACAAATAGCATTTATTACATTTCGAAATGTTCCAATATCGTGCAGGTATTATTTCAGAAGAACGTGAGCCTGCAGTGCGATTTTCATTCCAAGAAATCGAGGAAAATCATTCGCTGCAGCAGATTCTTGTTGCTGTGAATTCTTTGCAATTTCTTCAACTTCATGGAATTTTGCAATTGCGATTTCAAGGTTGGATCACGATGTCGAAGAAAGGAAAAATGAGTTATCCAAGCATATATATATATTCAAGCAACGTATCAGCTTAATCGACTTTTTCCTTTTCGCCAGTGACTATCATCCTGATAGTTGAAGAATAAATTGGATATTTTTGAAATATTATAAATGATATTTTAAATTTTACAAGTTACTCTTATTGTTTCAATTTAATTTTTTTTTCGACTTTTTGTTTTTTGTGCAATTTTAAAAGACGAAGGGAGGAGGAGGCGGAGGGAAGAAAACATCGACTGAACGTTTTATGAGCGATCTTTCGAGCACTTTTACTCGAGGGTGAAAGTTAAAAATATAGGTTGCGTAAATTATCGATCCATTGTGTTACAAAGGTTACATAAAATCGGGAAAAATCACGGGTTGGAGAATTTCTTCCATTCTTGGATAAAAAAATTTTTGGACGATGATTAAAACTGTCAGTTCAAAATGGAACTTTTGAAAATTATGAGATTAAAAAAACTCTCTTTGCAATGGGGTTAATCTTATCGCTCTCGTAAAATTTTCCCAACGAAATGAATTAGACGTACGAATCTAATTTATTATAACT